ACGCAATCGGCCTTTTTTGTCAACTGGTATTATAATTATTATGTTCGGTGGAAAACGGATAAATGTACCCATCATGTTACCTACACACAATATTGTAGATGTAAATTTGTCAAGTCGCCGATCGAAAACCCTTCACATCCAGTTTCGTTTTTCAACCGACAGCGGAGTGTATACACATAGCCACATAGGAGATATCGAATTTTTATATTATTTTCAAACCTATATGTGAAATTTCATGAATTAATGGGTACCTAACAAAATATTACGATGGTTAAAGCTCTAACCGCCCACTTATATAAACCTAAAAGTAAAGCGAGTTGATATCAATAATTATTACCGAGTCTTTTTCGTCAACTGAGACCGATACCAATATTGATGCCTATATATTACATAGCTCAACAATTATTGACCATTTAAACATAAATTATATCAAAATAAGAGTTAATAGTAGAAGTTTAAAATTTAAACGATTAATATTTCCTAAGTTGTTGTACATCATCTGAAACGTTACTTCCTCTCGCCACACTGCGGCACAGAGTTATGACTGCATCTGAGAACTATATAGGAACTAAAAAAAGAAAAACGGTTACGATGTGCGTCTGCAGTCGCTGCATGCTAGGTTCCTATCGATCGTTGTTACTTGTTACGAGGTATAAGCTCTAGAGTCGCAGTGGACCCTATATACCGCCCGCGGTATAGCATGTTCGCGGCGGTTTCCGCGGTGCAGCAAATTGTGCGCGGACCGTTTATAATATTATATATAGGTAGAAATCGTGTCTGCCGTTACAGCGGTGCAGTGGTTCGCGTAGGAGTCGGTCGTCGTACTTTTTTTATAGCGTACACACAATATTATAATAATATAATATACCTATATATGTGTGTGTGTGTGTATGTCGCAGTGTTGTTATAATATCTCGTATGTTTATAGGTATATACCATATATATGATATATACCAGTACGCGTATATACTCCTCTGGTTGCGGTTTCTCTGGTCGCACCGTCCGCGATGATGATTTATCGTTGAGCTCGCGCGCGCGCGCGCTCGTTCGACTCGGCGGCGACCATCGTCTCGACTACGACAAATATCGTACATGGTCTCGGCGGCGGTCTACGGCTAGGGGGTGGGTGACGGGCGGGGGTGCAAATACATCGTACGCAAATGTACGTACGTGCAGCAGTGCGCACTTGTATGTATATTGTATATTGTATATGCACACACACACAAACTGAGAAAGAATGTAAAAATAAGCGTACTCAATGGACATTTCGTTCGTGCGCATGCGCGTGTCCACTGCATATAACATAAATGCAGCAACAACGTCGCCGACGACAATAAAATATAAAATACGTTATTTATCGTGGTTCTTGCTCCGCCGGGGTCGTCCGGCCGCCCGCGATATCGGCGTACGGCCATATCGAGCTCGGAAGATTATTTCGAAAATCGTTAGGTACCGCAAACCGCAACAATACAGTCCGTATGATAACAATATTATGATTGTCGTTTAAATTGCAAACATATATTATAATCTGTATAAGAGTTTAAGAGTATAAGACTATTAAGACTGTATAATATTAATATTATCATACCAAGAATGTTATTATTATTGTATAGTATAATAATATATGTATTTTATATCGCTAGGTAATGGTTTTATTGTTTTTTTTTTCTGTTGCAGAGATCGTTTACGTTGGTATTGCAAGCGATGGACTACAACAATTACACAGGTAAGCGGCCGTTATAATATTTATAATAAGCAATAACAATAATAATTAGAAAATACGATAATATTATTATTATAGTCTATATAATACTTGTACGACAATAATAATAATATTCATAATATATCTCGATTGTATGTGGTATGTATGTCGAGAGCGCGCGAGACTATAAAACGATAATGTCACATATATAATAATATAAATATATCGTTATTATTAATATATTATTGTAGTCGTCGTTGTCGTCATTGTATATATGGCTCGACGTGACTCGGTCGGCCAATATATATATATATAATATACACATACACGATACGCCCACGCACCGCGCATACATACGCACAATGCGAACGAGTTTGGTGTAATCGTCGTCGAACCTCGTCAATACTAAGCACATATAAAATATTATATGGGATGAGGCGATCGAAGACGTATATTGTTGTTGTTGTTGTTGTTTTTGACGTTGTCCGGTTGTCGGATTATGTTTATATATATTCTATATTGTACGTATTGATATCGGGACTGCGGTGGGTAAGCGCATCATAACAATCGTAGCCGTCGTTTCGTCGCGGTATAGTATTGCGACGGCGGCGTCACGTCCCATTCCACTGGGGCCACATACGCTGCTGCGACTGTATAGCAACGACGACGGCTCGGCCACGATGATATTGTCGTATATTACCATCATCATCGGTACTTATACAACTACTAGTACTTATACAATATTATAAAATTATTATTATTATACACTCCGTACACTATATATTATATTATATTATTATTATTACTTATAGCTATAATAATAATAATAATGTATAATAGTACAGTGTTCGATACGATTCCAATTTCCAATTCCGTGTAGGAATGCGGCGGCGGCGGGACGGTTTTATTACTATTGTGTTGTTATATTTTCATTATTACTATATTACTGTACCTATCTATACAGGCGTACTATTGAAGATTTGTCGTAGTATATTCTTTTTGTTTTCACACACATTTATATAATAATAATAATATGATGTATATCGTCCGTCCGTCCGTCCGTATGTATATATGTGTGTATGTGTGTGTGTGTGTGTGATTGTGACGACGAGGCCTATTGTTGTACACCTACCTACGGCGGAGAGATAAACGCGCGTGAACAACTGAACGGAGGAAAAAAAAGGGTAGCCAAGGCGAAACGCCTAAGAAACGGACAGAGGAGAATAGGAGAAGGAATAAAAAATCGTCTCAATCAATTCCACGCGCGTCGTTGTTATACTATTGTTGAGCGCAGGCGCGTGCGTGTGTGTGTGTGTTGGCCGATGCAACTATTATTATATATAGGTACAACATAATAATAATAATAATAGTAATAATAAAATATAACAATATTATAACATACAACTGAGAGACCGGCAAGCACCGAATCGAATCGGCGGCGGCTCGGTACCGGCTTTTCGTCCGGTGGTGGCGGCGGCGGTGGCCGAGTCAAAAACGTCCGCGACACAGACAAAAAAAAAGTAGTCGATCCCGTAACACAGAAATAATAGGATTAACCGTAATTGTATAATTATTACTGTTTGTAACAGCTATACAATTTATATCTTTTGCTGGTTTACGAAAACATCGTTATTTAGTCAAATGATTACATAGCTATTCCGACTAGAAATCAACTGGCAACCACGTTATTAACTTAATTTGGCCGATTAAAATAATTAATAATCATAATATTATAAAATATATAGTAAACACCACAGACATAATATTATTATAATTCGGACAAACTATACTATAATGTTATTAAAGTTAGGTGTTTACTACATAGTCATAATAATTTAATTATATTCTAATAAATAATTTCACCTATAAAAAATAATCGTTCTTCTATAATATAATATATAACACATGCATGTATGTAATACCTATATAAATAATAAGTGTTCTACTAAACGTTGGTAATTATTTTATTTTTTCTGTGAACATGAATAAATTTGTGCGAAGGATTCGATCCGGTTGATGGTCGTGACGTAGATACAATTGAACGCTCACCACGATATTAATATACTATTATGTCCGTCAAACTATTTTTCATGTTTCCTTAGGTTCTAGCAGTGGCAGTGCACATTAATGAAATAGCTGTCCTTTTTTGAAATAAATAATAAAATATATGTGTACTTGAACATAAGTTTCTACCTAAGTATTATAAATAGCATTACATGACAAGTTTTATTGTATTTCAACTTTTGAGAAACACTAGAACTTAAAACCTTTACTTATTTACTATTTCAAATACAGTTTTTAATCAGGGCTTGCATATGAAAAACAAATCCGTTTTATGTTATTATAATTAAAACGTTACACAATTTTTGGTTTATCGTTATTTATAATTAAAACATTATACAAGTTTTGCTGTTTGTCGTTATTTAGAATAGTGTTAAATGTTAATACCTATTAATTTTATTGATAATAAGTAATAACTAATGCGGGTAGGTACTAGGTAATGACCCGGATACCGAATATAATATAACCAATAATTGTTTTGTCCGTATGTATGAAATAAATATTTCTACGAAACTAGTAAAACTTTTAAATAAATGGATTTTAAACTATTTCTTTTTGCGTTATTGTTCGTTCAATGAAATTGTATAAATTACGTTTTGTGATATTTTTCGTTTTATGATATTCTATAAATTACGTTTTGCGTTATGTTTTTTTTAATGATATAAAATATAGGTATTATGTTTATCGTTATGTTTGGTTTTTTATTATTTATTTTTGATTATCGTTTTCCGTTATAATTACGTTTACAAATTTCAATCGTTTTTTGTCAAATATAACATTATAAATTGTAATCATAACGTTTGCAAGCCCTGTTTTTAATATAATTTTTTTTTGAGGAGGAGATATGATCTAAGGCCAAAGCCATGCCGTAAATAATCCCTCCTCCTCTCAGTAGATGTAATCAATAGTCCGATATCTTGCCACAATATTGCACTTTTGATACAATTTGTGGTACGCATAATAATATATTATTATTAATACTATAGATTTAATGATTTTAAGTAATATAGATTACAGATGATAATAGTCGTTTGTACTATTTTAATATTTTTCCATACACAGAGACAATATTATAATATTTATAGTTATAGATTATAATTTATTTATATTATACACATTTTTTCAAAAATGAGAGTGTCGAGTGATATAATAATTAATAATTAATGTAATCGTGAAGTAATTTACATACCCACCTGTAAAGCAGTTTTATTGTACACTTGTAACTCATCATTTAATGATGTGTATTCCTGCAGGCTTGCTGTCTGTTATCGAAGAGGCCACGTATTCCGGTATCCTGTTGCCTGGCAATGAATGGAAAGCTCTGTCACACCTGGGCCACACGGCCCGCATGGCATACCGCGTGCGCGTTAGGTGCGATCGCAACTACTACGGACAAAATTGCACAAAGCTCTGCAAGCCCCGGGACGACCGGTTCGGACATTATACATGCGGTGACACGGACGGCCGGAAAGAGTGCATACCCGGCTGGCAGGGCGAGAATTGTGACAAAGGTTAGTCACTTTCTTAAATTTACTCCCTCAACTCCATCATTATTATATATGAACGATAATCAAATTATTCACTATATTTAGTGTTAGTATAGTAATAATAATCACGTATTTTTTTAAATTTTTATTTACAGCCGTGTGCAAGACCGGATGCAATCCCGCACACGGACATTGCGGTAATCCCGGAGGTTGCGAGTAAGTATATTAATATATACATATTGTAGTTACAGCAGGCGTTATATATATATATATATACACTTAAAATTATATCGAAAAACCTACGCTTGGTTATTAAATATAATAATATAATATACGACAATGGCGACGATGATGACGACCTCGTTGTTCGGTGTGCTGCCGTCAATGTGTTGCCGTTAATGATAACAGTTATATTATGGTCGATAATGCGGCATCGGCGATAATACATAGAAAGAGGATATAAAGCGGTCCACTGGCAATTGCTGTTCGGCCATCGACTTAAAATGTAAAGGTTACGCAACTAGACATATGATAGAGTGATCGCCGAAATGAATCCTGCAGCGTATATCCTCTTCCCGTTAGGGTTATCGGCTTATCGCTGTCGTATTATGTGTACCTATATATTTCAAATTATCAACTCTATATTTATGCCGATCACTGTTCACTATTTTGTAAAAGTTTACGTTTCAAACATTTTGACTGTAAAATTGGACAGGCATTTTCGTGAGACTCTTTATCGTATACACTGCACTACTGCAGTAGCTACCCGCAGTGCACATTGCACAACCTATAGTTACAAATCTTGTGATTTATTGCCTCTTCACTGTCCCGCTCTACCACGTAAACGATGAAATGATAATATAGGTAAATACTATTTAAATACAATAAAAGACCACCCTCAGGATTATGGGCACCGAGTGCTGACAACCATTACCGCACGGTATACCGTTTGGGATGTTTCCGGGTACGAAAAAGGTTAGAAAACCATTGATAAAGAGTTTTAACCTTTTTCATTTTATCCACATAAATCAAATAAGGTGCTTTCAATTGAATTCGATAAAATATTATATTTTGATATTATTTGTTCACTGCGGTATTGACCCTCACCGGTATTATGTTAAAGTATCTTTACCAAATTTAACACGCATGATGTATAATAGTTGCAGTGTTGCGGCGTCTCGATTGAAGTATTGGCACGCGCGCATTTGGAACACACTCCCCGTGGGGAGGGGGTGGTTCAAGCCACACATCATAATATCAACAAAACACACAAAAAAAAAATGTATCAAATTCGGCATTAGTATAGGTATATCCAAGACGAATTTCGGGGGTACCCCTCAAGGCCCCACTACCCCCCGCAAACTGTATCTGTTGCCCGCCGTCGTACTCATCATCGCGTATTCGAATCATGAAAACCGCCGTGTGGGCATATATATATATATTATTATATTATATCGTAAACACGACGCCGTAGTCACCGGCGGTACGGTTTCGTCGTCGTTGGACTCTGGCCAGCACACTTTCCGGCGGCCCTCCGCCCTCGCTCGTTCGGCGGGCCCGGGGAGGCGGGGGCGTGGGAAACGACGGTGAGTTTTCGAGAGTTATCGCAGCGGGCTCGGTCGCCCGTCGTCGTCGTCGTCGTCCTGGCCGTGGTCGTCGGCGGCGGCGGCAGGGGAGTACGCAGGCCGAATTTTAATAAACGCATCGGCGGCGGCGGCGGAATTTCGTCGTGTAGTCTGCAAGCCCCGTACAGTTCTCACACAACGGCGTCCGATGAATACGAAATGTGTGCATATAACGTGTGGTGTTGATATTGCAGGCGGCGGTCACTGCGCTGCGCGTGAGACTATAATATTATTATTATTATTATTAATTAATTCGATACGATATCATTCCCGAATATAATATCATATAATATTATTATTGTATGCCTACTCGTGACACCTGCACGGCCACGCGTTTCTCACAAGTCCGTCGATCTGAAAATCGTCTCTCACACGGTGAGGCGGCCACGTCACCCAAACACAGCCAACTCCGGCCTGGAGACTCTAAATAATATGAGGAAATAATACCAATATTATCATTTATGTATCATATTTTTTTTAAGTATGTAGTTCTTTCACAATGTTGTTGATAAATTGTACTTAAGCCCTCATTTTCCGCTTCGAGTCTGTGAATATAATTAGGTACTTAGATTTTATTCGCATCACACAGGAGTAGTTCAGACCTCGGACTAGTTAACCTAGGTGGGAGGTCACGCATATTGAGTTTGCCGGTACGGGCGTAAGAATAACTTTTTAATCATCCTCTCCCTCTCGCACTGCTCCTGCAGCTTATAGAAGCACGATGCGATGTCTACATTATTATGCAGAAGGAAAAATGTGTTTTGAGTTTCAGTGGACTGAACACAGACTTATTTTTTAAGTGAAGTGATGATTTTATTATGAAATAGGTAAATCATATCTTAGAAGTTAATTATACAATGATTATTACTTTTAAATAAAATTTTTATTTTAAGATCAATTAATATCATTAAAAATCAAAAGAAATTATAAAATAATATAGGTAGTCTCAAACGTTAAAAAAATATAAAAAAAATGTCTTGTATACAAGTCTTTTATCGTAATCACCTTGAATATACATCATCGAAGTATTTAAATAATAACTCCAACGTCTCTTATACTTAACTTCGTTAAAATTTGAAAAATATTATTTGTATGTTGAAACAATATAATAACGGTATGCTAAACTTAACAACAATAACATATTTAATAAAAAAAATTAAATTAAAGTTGAACGTATTGAAGAACTATTTCTTATAAGATTTTGATATAGGTATAGTGTGCAGCAAATTCGATTGTATGGTTCCCGCTCTTAATCAGATTAAAGCCTAGAGCATTTTGTATGATTATATATGACAATTATAATTGTATGGTCGAAATGTGAGTGACCTTCCCCTTTAATCACGTCAACAACTAATAATTAAGTAAATTCATTTTTTGCCGTTACGAAACATTTCGTGTATTTAATTTGATATTTAAACTATAAAATATTATAAAAATATTAAATATTAATAAGTTAGACAGTGGTTGTATCATATATTAAAAACTAGGTTTATTTATTTATATTAATTTCCGTGGGAAAGATTAATCGTTATGCAGAGGATATTAGCTTAAACAATTTTACCTAAAATTGAAATATTCTCATCTAAGTTATCTACACTAAAATGTAATGCTCTAATTATTTAAAAATGGTAAAGGTTGTGAAAAACATACGTTTTACCTCTTCTATCGCAGTTCATTCAAATTGGAACGGACATTTTTCTTTATACTTCCAGCACTACTATACAATCTATATTCTATATACACGATGACCCATCGTCGTTGTCGTTATAATATTATTCACTTTAAATTATCTGTGTAAAATTTGTATGTGTATTAATTCAGATGTTTTTGCTTAAAATAAAAATAGGTGCCGAAAAGGTTGGCAAGGTGAGCTTTGCGATCAGTGTATGACGTATCCTGGATGCAAGCATGGATATTGTAACGGAACTTCTTGGCAGTGCATATGTGACATAAACTGGGGAGGCATTTTATGCGATCAAGGTAAGTGTTTTGAATTTATTGTTATGAGATGTAGAATTCATGTAATATTATGCCGTAGCCGTATGTATGTTTAACGAATTTAAGACATATTTTGTTTGTGACACTCATTATAAAGCAATTCTATATTACTATATTTTATTGGAGGTATTAAAATTCAGTTTATTTTCGAGAACTGTGCGCTATGTCCAACGTTTTGTCACAGTTAAGATAGTATTGATGATAAATATAAATACTTTCGGGTTAGAAGAATTCAGATATTTTGACATACAAACTGTGATGCCGTGTTAGGGTTGGCCATTGTGATTTGTTTAGGTGCGGAACGACGCGACGCCGGAAACCTGTTCGCCATAAATCCTTAAGGGTTCAACTATTGTGCTTAGTATGAACATTTTATATTTTGGATATCATATTATAAAATGTTATTTATTGGCGCCGAAAGAAATACTTGCTTGGATCATAATATCTTAATCCGTATATCTGTCACTGGACATAAATATTTTCGCTTCCTATATCACCATTCAGGAATCAAGATCATGACTAAGAAATCAATACAAATGTTTGTCCCAGCAATGATATATACTTGTACCTATACATAAATAGTGTCTTCTTTGTCGATTGTGAGTCATGACGTGGTATTTGGATTATTTTTATCCATTCATTTAATTAAAAGAATGTGTATAAAACATTTTATCTCGCATGCTTCGTATTTTTAACATGGAATTATTTTGCGTTACGTACTGTTTTTTTTTATTGCATCGTACATCAATTAAACTGCATATTTTTTAGTGCATTTTCCATTGCATATATAAATATATATGCGTATACTTTTGATTTTTTTTTATAAATGCTTTTATATATTCACAGCCCTGATTATTATTGTTTTTTTTTTATTTTTTATATTTTTTTTATTGAAATCGATCTCGAAGCGGTGACTATTATATTACTGCAGAAGATATATATATTATATATGTATACCTAGGGTCCTTTCGCCGATTGTGACGATTTTTTTTTTTAATGATTAGTGGTGCGTATCGAATCACCCGCCGCGGCGGCAATATCGGTGGTTTTCAATCGACAGCTTGGTCCGATAAAAAAAAAATATATATGTATATTATACACCTATATGTATGTATAAAAATCGAATAGAATAATAATAAAACGGTGGTGATGGTTGTGGCGATGCCGCGAGGGTTTGAGGACGCCTAGAGCTCATAAAAATTATAATCCGTTCCGCGCGACGATTGTTGTCTTCGTCGTCGTCATTTTTCGTTACGCGCGTTTCGTATTATAATAATATAAACGTTCGATTTTTTATGAGTATTTTTAACTACTGAATAGTGTATTTGGTGGGGTCGTGTAATAATCGAGCTCCAACGCTTCATGGCAAAGAAAAGTATATAGAAGTGCAGTGTGTGCGAGCGACATGTCATTGAATGCATTCAATTTTTCCACCTATATAACAATAATTATTCAATACACCCTTAAATTGAAGTGGTAACGATCGTCGTAAAAACTCGCACTTTCGTCGTAACTCGTAAGATTACCGCATTTAATAACATAATAATACAGTCACATTATCATAATTTTTTTTCGTTTTCCATTATTCGTGGCGGTCGTTAATAACGCGTAAAAAATAATTTATCATAACAATATAATAAATAATATAACTCGTATATAATATTAATATATTATTACATTATATAGTTCTCCGTGTATACATGGCGGTAGTGGTACTGCACGATTGACTTTTTACAATAAAAATAATATACCTATGTATTGTACATAGTATATTATTCATACACATACATATACATATAATATTATTCATACATATAATATAATGATGCTTGAAAGTTTTTTTTAGTAGTCGTTTGGTTTTGGTATGGAACAATGGTTGGGGAGGGGGAGGGGGTTATAGTTATTGCCGCCGATAGCGATTGTTATTATTATTATATTGATGGCATAATTTGCGATCATCGATCAATCGACGTCGTGTCGTCGCATATTTATTGCCACCGCTAAATCATTATGATTCGACTACAACTGCTGTATATATACATTTTACTATTATACTTAATATAAAAAAGTAACTTTATCATTACATAACTATTAAACTATTATTATTACGCGATCACACTTCACACAGTCTATCCTTAGTTAAATAATATTATTTAAATGTTTAATTAAAATTTACAATAGTTTTCATAATTAAAAAGTAGGTAAACGTTTATTTGAAATATTAGTTTTTTTATAATGGGCAAACATTTTTGAAATATTATGGTCTTCCAAAATCTAAATGCTAGTGTATGTTTTATTGCAATATGAAATATCATACACTATACTCCATAGGCACACGTTTTGTCGTCGTAAATATGCGTGACAGCTTTCGCGGATAGAAATTCTTCTCTTTCTTCGAATATACTTAACAATAACCTATTGGAATTTCTATACATATACATATAAAATACATACATAATACATATAATATTCAAACAAAGGCAGTTGCTGTGCATAAACTGGCTACCTATGTATAATAATAAATGCCTCCGAAATGTATGATAGTAGGTACTTATTATCTGTCCAACCTTAACTTATCAAAATATGGTATTTATATCTTTCTGCTATGTGCTAAGTATTAAAGATGTACCCCCCGCATGAATTGTGTTACGAAAGATATTAATATTTGACAATTATTAGATTAATTATTGCGGTACCTACTTCATTGCTTCGATCATAAATATCGCGCTCCATTGACTGCATGAAAATGTACTGATAACATTTTGAATAATTAATATTTATTGAAGACGGTCCGTGTCCACTATGTTACGCTAAATAAAATTAAGGATAGTTTGGATTGGTAAATAATAACTAATATCTTGTTTCGTAGTATTAGTGTATTACGCTGTAATATATAATTATTATTATACATAGTATTCACTATTATATGTCTACATCTATATTATATATTATTATATATCCATATATATATAATATATGTGTTTGCGTGTGTGTATATGAAAAAATATAGAAGAAAACTGAGACCTTTTTAGTCGCGAATTCGAGATAGAATGAAATATGAATAAGGTCAACGTCGAGATAGGCGCCAACTAGCTATCGTGCGAAGTATAACAATAATAATAATAATAAAGTGCTTCATGGTCTCGGCATAATTATATACCTATAATATAACTACCTACAGAACTTATAATATATAGTATTTGCGTGTATGTCTTTAGTGCAAGAAATAGTTTATCGGAGCAAATTATACATTTGTTTACTGCTACGAATATTATTATTAAAAACTTGAAAGTGCATAATATTTTATTTGCTGCTTTTTTTGGATATTTAATAATGATTTTGTTTCTTCTAATTAATACATTTTCATTTTAACGGTTTTTCTTAATTTTTAGTGGATAATATATTATTATGAAGAATGGTACAACAATAATAATGCATTTAAAAAAAAAAAACTAGAATGGAAAAAAGTATTGCCGTGAGATTATATACGTATTTACTATTTACCATTGTTGATAGATAAAAAACATTCCGGTATTATATTATTCCTCCTTATGCAGTTGGAACATCGTGTTTATCGGGTATTTTATCTTTATTTCTTCTTTTTTTTTTATTTTAGTAATATAATTTAAAATAATGATATAAAGAATAAACTATAAAAAAAAATAGTAAAAAAAATAATTGTAGTATAAAAAAAACATTTGATTTAATTAATTATTTATTTATTTACTTACACATTTGGTTTTTTAGAGAAACTGTTTAGATTTTTCCTAAGTTTATAACCTATGTTCATCCATTTTTTAGTACCATAATATATATATTATTTATACAATAATATGTTATAATATTCATTATGATATTGTTCCGGCGTGGCGGTGTCGTTGTCCTTAGCGATAGTACTGTTTAACATATTTCGTTATAAATGTATAATAATATTTCCGTTTCCGTCGTACGCTGCTATAACACCACCAACACCGGTATTAACTTTAATTATATTAAATATTATTGTCGATTATCGGTGGAAGATAATGTTTTAGAATTAAACAAATAATAATATATTATACAATTATCATCAAACGTAATAATAATATTATTAGTGCCGTTGTCCTGCGGGCCCACCAACTGTCGCTTTCGTATCGCGAATTCCGATAGGGCCCGCTATAGCGCGAGCGTAAAAATCCGACCGCCGGTCGCGCCCGCCACTGCCGCCGCGCATTAATCAAAACGGCAGTGCCGTGTAATATAATAATAACAGTGACTGCCGCGCAGCACACATTAAAATGTTATTATTATTATTAATACGCACGACGCGCGACGGTTAGGTTTTTCGACTTGCTCGCACAGGTCCAACTATCCTACTCGGCGTGTACAATATATATATATCGGTCCACCTACTTGCATATACGCGTATAATATAGGTAGGTTTGAGCTGTATTTGCTCGCGCCGCCTCACGGGTAATAATCACGCGCGCGCGTAATCGTATTCTGGGACGGTCGGATCACGATTCTACAGCCGCCGCCGCAGCCGTTGCACAACGCGGCGGCGGGGCGCAGAGTCGCACGCCGCAGCCGCCGCCTCATGGTTTTAGAAAACTCGTTTTCATCGGCGGCGGCGGCTTAGCGATCGAGAGACCCGGCGAACGCTCGCGCGCGAGCCCGCGCATTATATAGGTATATGGTTATTACATCGCTCTGCAACTGAGTATATTAAATTATTACTCGTCGACGAATTGATCACACGGACATAGCGGATAGCGTATATGTATATATATAATATATATGAAAAAAAAACACTAACCCGCCCTGCTTCCGCCCCACCTTTGCCACCACCATCACTAACACCGCCACCACCCCACTACCGCATGCCGAAACAACAACAACAACAACTACCTGCACGCACCCGCCGCGATATCGTTGTAATTACAATAATCTCAATCGTCGTCGTCGTTGTATATAGTCGTCGTCGTCGTCTCGTAATATATATTATATACCACACCGAAAAATACCGTGTCTAGTGCACAACATATAATAATATCATCGTACCTACCTATACCTACCTACCTACCGATTATACGCCACGCCGTCCCTCTATTACTTATCGTCGTCGTGTCCGGCAACACCCCGACCGCCGCTGTTACATACCGCTATCGTGCCGCGGCCGCCGAGGTCCGGGTGAACGTCGCAGCGCACGCGAGCGAAACCGAAAAACCCGCGCGCGCCCGTTACACGTACAGCATAATATGATACCTATATTATAAGCCGTCCATTGCCGCTGCTTGAACGCGTTACGTTTTGTGTTTCAGACTTGAACTATTGCGGCACCCACGAACCGTGCCTGAACGGAGGGACGTGCAAGAGTACGGCCCCTGACAGATACACGTGCACGTGCCCCGAAGGGTTCGGAGGCGCAAATTGTGACGTGGTGCTGAACCCGTGCGCCACCGAGCCGTGCGCTAACGGCGGAAAATGCCGGACAGTGGACGCAGTCTCCGCATCCGGTGGCGGTGCCGGTGGATCCGGCTCTGGTCCGGGCGCCGGCGGTGCTCAGATGTTCGGCTCCGTGGCTCAATCCGCTCCGCTCTTGGTACCCAAGCAATTCCATTGCGACTGCCGGCCGGGCTGGATGGGCAGTACCTGCAATACAGGTATATAAAATACACATCTTCGTGATGCAGATATTATATTATTATTTATATATAATACATTTATACTACCTTGTTTGTATTGATTTTTATTTATTATTGGAAAGATAAAAGGGGCTTCAACAGCTGAGATTATTAGTATTGATATGTATTCCATATTGGTATACCTATAAAGGTATACTTTGAAAATTCTATTAATTTTTTGGGTTGTCTTAAGTTTCCATTATTGGGCGATGAGCTCTGCTTAGTTGCGTGTCATAAAATAAACGAATTATTGCACGTTTGATGTATGTAGTTTATACCGTTTAGGCAACACAGCATTACAGCAATTATAAATCAATTTCAAAATAGGTAAATAAAACATAAAAAAAATACCCAAAATATTTATGTATGGGTAAAATATTTTATTAGTAATAGTATCATAATGCCCTACCAGTCCTAAATATTTTTAATTAATTCATTTTATTTAATAAAAATTTATAATGTTAATCAATGCGTGAACTTTTTAATTAATTGTTTGAAAATATTTATTAAAATAATTATAAATATGATTTTTTTTTGTTTTGGAACACAAGTTACATTTAAAATGCAATTCTCACCGTTAGAAAGATCATATTATTAATATGCAAAAATCCGATTCGTATCTAATTTAAACTAATATAATCGGCTGATTATAATTTCTAGTAACTAGCAATTAATTTATGGATTTTTTTTATTTAATTAGATATATAAATTATATTTTTGAAATACGGTTATAATGAGTATTTTCATGGCAACTGACCAAGGAAGCATCTATTAACATTATTAGGTAAAAAAATGCACTATATAGGAACTTCCTGTTCATATAATTATATTTGATAATATAATAGGTACATAGCGTGTTTTAATGTTGTATCAATATGAATATGACGGTAGAGATACTTGGATGTTTCATTCGCTGCAGAAGTGTATATATACATGATTGGTACTATTTAGCATACCGTATTGATATAGTTGGAATATTTTTATGGCACCATTGTCTATTATTATGTATACACAAATGCTACACACTGGTTTGTTTTCTCAGTATGGACTATGGAGTACCTATATAAACATAAAATAAAATAAGACCAATACTATGGATTTAAATTAGTAAATATATATATAATGTGTACCATTAATAGTATAAATAATATCTATTAGAGTTAATTGACCTTCTACTATCGAATTTAATGATGTGAATATTATCTGAGAGAGATGATCTCTCGTCCATTATTTTTTTTCGATATCTTAATTTTGAAATGAGGTATTTCCAATAGCATATTAGTTTATTAAAATAAGCAATTAAAAAGAAAACTAGTATTGAAAAAAAAATATCTGAAAAAAACCAAAGACAGATCACAGATAAAATACGTTCTCGTAATATTTAAATTTTATAACAGGTCAATTAACTCTAATATATATATAATACATTAATCATACATAAAATATACAATATTATAGTTCTGGTTCTACTGCATGTAACGATGTGACCGGGATGGATGAGATGCGAGAGAACAAAACGGCAATGTGTGTGTGTGTGTGTGTGTGTGAGTAATCTTAAATAATCGCCGTGATTATACGACGACGTGTGCGAATATCTCGATAAAAAGGCCTCAGCGTTCGTCGAGAGACTTTAACGGTGAGTGGCCAACGGACTGTCGGATGCTTAGGGTCATGAGAGGGGAGGTAGGGGGTGCTGTCTTCAAGTGGGTACTCGTCGACGATTTTTGTCGTCGTCGTGTATCCGCGTATACTTACGGCTAGTGGCCCGGTGGGCGGCGAGGGGATCGGGCCGCCACCGCACGACGATGACGAATTATTATTTAAATCACGCGTGATATTATTATTCAAAATTCCGATTCCGAAATTATTACACGCGCGCGCGCTTCGCTCGCGCAAAAGAGCAGAGAAAGTATGCGTTCGTTGACGATTGTTGTTTGTTTGGTTTGTTAGTTGGTGTGTTGCGTGCGTGTCCGTCCCGAGACGTCGTTATTGTTATATGGTAAACGCTCAGCCAAGAGTACCACGCTGTTTTATCGCAAAGTCATTACGGCCGGCGGCGGCAGCGTATGTACGCGCGCGCCCAAGTTATTAAACCGCATATACGCGGTGCTGACAGCGGTGCGTTATGACAACGATGACATTTCGGTATGTCACTGGCATCGTGTTATAATTACGATGACTGTACCATGATGACCGGAGAAAAAATGAGACTATATATAAAAAAAGTCTGACGTTTTGTTTTATCTCGATTCTTGTTTATAGGTGGGTCCGGGAGTGGGTCCAAAAAAGGGTTAAGAAGCGGCCGACGACTCAAGCATGTGTGGCACGTGTAGTGTGCCGTAAACTTGAGTGGTGGTCATATTATTGTATAGTACTATTGTGGGCAAAGTGCTGTTACCCGACGGGGTTCAGGCACATATTAATATACTATTGCCATATATATACAATATATATTATATACTTATAATCTACACTTTCGTGCGAAAATGTGCAATTATTTAAAGTTTTTATTACGTGGTCCACAGAAATCGACGAGTGTGCCACTCAACCGCCCCGGTGTCTGAACGGAGGATCGTGCATTGACCTGGTGGCTGACTGGCGTTGTGCGTGTGCGGACGACCGTTGGCGTGGTCGCAGATGCGAAATAGGTATGTTTTTATATATAATATTATGATGTTATAGAGTTAGGTATTATTCAACAGTACCTATAACTACTTTGAGCCTTTCCCTTCTATTTTGGTCATACTTGCAGTTATGTTATATATTCATCACAAACTTTTGTATCGTTATGACGTAGACGAATGCGAGCGACAGCACAGGGAACGGCAGTCAGCGGTGTCGAGCAGCAGTGTGGTCCGAACGCCGTGCCGTGCAGAACGACTGGGGGTGGAAGTAACGTCCCTGCGACCACAGAATGCGTGTGCCGAAGGGGTTGGACGACGGTAGCGGCAATTACAGCTTCTAGGGATGGTCATAATGGAACTTTGGCAACCGCCCTTGCGTGCACCGTGAACGTTGATGATTGCGCTGGACCCGACGTGAAATGCACCAACGGTGGCACTTGCTTGGACTTGATCGGTGGCTACACCTGCGCGTGTCCTGTCGGCTTTACCGGTTAGTAATATAATATAATAATTTATTATTAATAACTAATAAGTAAGCAGAAGTTATTATAATTCGAAATTCATAAATACATGAATTAGTATTTTGCCGATATTTTATCGAAAAAGATATAATAATGGTATTATAGAGCATTGGAATAATAATATCAAAGGGTGGTTGTTTGGCGTGATGATTTTTAAGGGGCCGCGTGTAGGCAATTTGTTTTGCAATGCTTGTTGGGCGGCTAGTTTGTTTGCGTAAAAGCAATTTAACGTTGGTGTGCTTTCGCGAGGGCGTGGATCTAATGCGTAACCCTGAACAACACAGCCAATACTTGTTCACACGCGCACTTAAATAGTAGCAGCACACGAATAATAAATAAAATCTCAGAGTGATGAAAATTGTTGAAAATTGTTTTGCAATAATAGTGCCATAAACCAAGAGGTTGTTGCAGGTACAAATTGTTGTACCAGTTAAAATTTATTGCTTTTAGTTTCAACTATAACTATATAATATGCCGTGTTTTTTATTTATGTAATATGCGTGACCACTTTGTTGGGTGGAAAGAATGCCCCAAAGTTGTAGTATATAGGTCGGTTAGGCATTGAACACAGATATTTTATACTTTTGACTTTATACAGCAAAACCATTTACAATACAATAACTACGAAATCTGTTAACAAAATTACAAAAACCTAATCTAACCTAACCTAACCAGTTATTATCTGGATAGTTATAAATTTTAATTAACACAATAATACCACTAAACATTTGTATGCTTATAATTTTTAATTAATCATGAACTGTATTAATAGAAAAGTAAAACATTTAAATACTATGAAATAAGTTAAACTTTCATTACAATCGTATTTTTTAAAATATAATAATCCATCGCATCATTCAACTAGGTAGTAAAATAATAATATATCATTGGTTGAGGCTAGAGAAGACGTGAAATGATCTCTCTACAACCATTGAACCATTATGTGGTTATATTTTACATATTGATATAATGCGATATTTAAAATTAAAGTAATCATGTAATTTATGAAAATGATTAATAATTTATACGAGTGTGAGTGTCTAGATCGATATCAAGAAAGCATAAAAATGTATAGATTAATTTTAAATTGTGATTAAGAATTCTTTTCTCACAGTCATATTATAAATAAATCAATAAATCAATATAATATCAATTGATCAAGAGTTTGGTCAATATTATTGTCTATTTAAAAATATTTTCGTGCTAATAGTCCACCGACTGGAACCTTTTGAATTTATTGGTATCGGTTCCGGTACTGGTTCTCCAAAAATAAAATAACTGTGCCTGTTCGGTTCTGGTTTTTTGATAAAAAAAAAATTAAGGTATAGGTTCCAAATATTTTCGGTACTGGTTCAAGATAATTTAGGTACCGAAAAATATAATAATTCTAAATACCTATCAGGAATACGGGTTTATTAATAGTATGAGAAATATTAGAAAACTCATATGATCATACATAATTTATACACAAAACAGTAATACCATTATATTATGATAAATAAAATTATTTAATTTTTAAACCTAAAAAAACCTATTTAATTTAAAAATTCCAGTTCGGTTCCGGTACTTAATTTATTAAAATAAAGGTTCCGGTTACAGAACCGGTTCTTTTAGGTTCGGTTCCAGTACCAGGATGATACCCCCTCTTAACATCGTAGACCATAGTAATGAAATATGCATTTACACTATTGTCTATTATGTATATTTCGTATAATATGTAAGGCAAACTACCGAATTTACTTATGTAGCAGTTAATCGTCATAGTACAATAGTTATTGCTTATTACTTATTAGGTACATACTTATTACTTATACTTTATATAATTTTTAATATTTATTTTCGTCGTTCAAAGGTCGGAACTGTAGAACTCAAATTGACCCATGTGGTGGTGATAACGAATCCGGTGTAGCTGGCGGTGGAAATCCTTGCAAAAACGGTGGTGAGTGCGTGCCTTCACGACGTTGGCGTGGTGGAGGAGGGAGTGGAATGTCAGCCAAACAGCAGCAGCAGCAACAGACTTACTCCTGCATATGCCCCTTGGGATATTCAGGCGAAAACTGTGAGGTAAGAGACTGTGACGAACTTAAATGGATGAATTCAACCAGTTCAAAACTTGAACTGCCATGTTAGAACTGTTAGATGGTTATATGAGGGTTATGAAAAATATATAACCTTTATAACGTTTTTTCAAAATTTAAAAAAATTTTCCATCAAAAATCTGTTTTCATATAAATCGATTTGTATAAATCATTATAATACAAATCACAGCTATACTCAGATGAAAAACATTTTCAATTATGTACCTATAGTTATAACTTATAAATGAAAACGTGTCGTTGATACAATTATAAAATTCCATCATCCATTCCATAAGAACTCCAGTGATATTTTTTTAATGAAAACTTTGTACTAACCATAGACCTTATGTTCAGTAATTATTATTTTTTTTCTAACTTTACATCGTGCTTTATCTTGTTGACAGATCGACAGGGACCATTGTACGCCGAACCCATGTCGGAACGGCGGCCAGTGTCTGAACACGCCGGATGATTATTACTGCCAGTGCAGTGGGGATGGTTGGTCGTGGCATGGCAAGAACTGTACCGTGCCCGCCGATGGCAGTGTCGCCGGGGCCACAAAGTCTACGGCCGCGACCACGACGACCACGCCGACAACCGCAAGGACCACGACTACCACAACCACGACGGCCGCACCGACGACGACGACAACGACTACGGTGGCCAGTACTAGACCTCCATCGACGCCACCACTGCAGCGTAGCACCGCGATCACGCCGGTGGCCACTAACCGTCGACCGGGCGCCGGCTTACCGGTTACGACGACATGGCGACAACAGCAGAAGCCATACGGTGACGAAGACGACGACAACTATAAAGGTGAGTGCCTTTTTCACGTACTAGTTATTATATATAGTATTATTATTTTTTCTATCACCCGTCTTGGGTTAAAATTAGGGGGAGGGGGGACTACAGCCTTCGACAAAATGTTTTATTAAAAATAACTAAATAATAATATCATAGGAGAAAACTTATCATCAGTTATATGGCTCTATGAATAAGTATTTTGTGTGCACATTATATACGACGATGTAAGGTACTCGATCGAATTGTAATAAGTAACTAGTTTATGATGACGTAGGTATAATAATTTCTAGTAATATTTATGAATATTTTCGTGATCTTTAAATCTGCTAATTTTCATCGAATAAAAATATTTTATAAATTTACCCAATAACTTATTAGACGCTGATAACAAGTTATTTAATCCGTAATTTATAACATGCAATACGAATTTAGAGGTGCAGCTTCAAGAATTACGACACCGTTAAGATTAGACATTTGTTAGGTATAGCCGTATAGGCGAAATTACAATTATTGGCAATACAAAGTTAGCAAGACTTATGTACAATTCACAACAAATATTATTAAAATTCCGCGATAGAGCCTTTCGAAACTGAGATTTGTGGTGCCAACAATATAGTTAACGACAAACTGCTGCACCGCACGTCAGTATTTAATGATGTTATGTCGTGATCACGTCTCGTACCGATATGGAAATACTCGTTCGGGTGATGTACCTTTATCTGTCATAAATAATTTATTTACATATATATATATATATATATTATATACACACATAAACGAAAGGATTGTTCTGTGTTCTCTATCACCCCTCCCACCACTATCATGATCTCTGAGACCCCAACGCGTGTAGTCGATGATTATGTGAAAACACGCGGACGACGTATTTCTAATTTACGTACAGTTTTTTTTTTTCGTTCCTGTCATTCATATATTATATTATAATACACAGCCTCGCTGTATACTATTATAATATAGTGTATATACGCAGCGTGTATATATCGATTTTTTACGTAATTTATTATATATACTTTAAAAAAAAAACTTAAACGAAATCTCGTTATTATTATATGTGCGCGCACGCCGCGGTGCAGTGGTGGTGTCCAGCAGGTAAACGCGGCGGTGTCACGCTGGGACCGCGCTCCGCGCACTATTTCGAACGCTCGCGCGCGGCCGCCAGAATCGTCCGGTATAATATTATGCGGCGGCAATAACGCTCGTCCGTCAGCAGCGGCGGCGGTGCAGCACGTCATCGGTCGTCGTTCGTCTCTCCGCGTCGGCGTGCATATTATAATAATATACGTAATATTATATTTGTACGTATTTTATGTTTGAATAATGTATAAATTCGAAACCGCCGCCGCCGCCTACAAACAACAAATAACGGCGGACGAGTAATGATAATAATAATAATAATAATAATAATAACCCGCTCCCCGCTCTCCGCTGCATCCACCGAGTCACCTAACCCGCCGAATAGCTGCACCGCACGTCGTTATAATAATAATGACCGCCGTCTCGCGGCCGATCCGTTTGTGAAAACGTGTGCGTCCGCGTGCCGGTTCGTGTGCGTGCGTGCGTTGCAGCACGGCGGCGGCGACCGTCGTAAACTACGACGGCGGTGGTTTCTCATCGACGGCGTGCTGCTGCGCGGCCGTCGTTACGACGTCCGCGGGGGTCTAATGGGAAAACGTCGTCGTCCGTCGTGCGCCGTTCTCGTCCCGCGAGAGCTGAAAAACAATCGGCGGCGGCGGCGTGTAAGCTCCGTCAGTTCGGCACCCCGCTGACTGGACGCGGCCGCGACCATCGTCGTCGTCTTACAAGCGCGAGCGCGCGCGTCGTGTTATTAATACATATTATTATAGATATGCACTCGCGCACGTATTTATATATTTATTTATTTATTATAATATATGCGCGCCGGGTTTTGAGTTTTTGGTACGAAAAGAACGCACTTCATCGCCTGCGTCAGCCTATAAACTGAAATATTACACATTATCGTGTTATCGTTACAACGCGACCTACACCTTATATATAACCCCCCTGCCCCACCCACTCATCGATGTAAATATATAATATTTCATTGACGTTCACTGCAGTTTATTGCCGTCGATAAATTTACGAGACGTCGTTGTCATGTCATGTTCGCGGTGTACATGGTATCATAATTGTAACGCTGGTCGATTAATTTTTATTCACGTATATTTGTGTCGTTACAGCGTCAACAGTAGCGAACGTGGATCAACAGAAGATTGACGACGACGGCGCCTTGGCGATGTGTGGAGGCGGCCGTCATCGTCGCAAGCACTGGATCGCCGACGACGGTTGCAACGAGTGCAAGTGCAGCTCTAAATCGGCGATGGTCGACAACGTTGACGACAAGTCGGCCGTGATGTCGTGCACCAACATGTGGTGTGGACCCGCGACTTTCGACTGTCTTAGCGGCGTTATGCCTTGCACCGGCACCAACCAGGTAACTTTCACCACGTATTATTATTATCCGTCTTATATGTATTTGTGGTCAATGCAATCAACGTTCTCGAACCCCCAAATTTCATAAAATATAAATAGCGTTCCCTACAATACTATTTTTATTTTCCGTATGGTCAGTTTTAACGATTTTATAATTATCCAGTTACCCAATGAAAGTTTGAAAGTTAGTAATTTTGAAATGTTTAAGAATAGTTCTAATTCGTAAAAATTGAAGTCCCACCCCTGATTGATATGGTGTGCTGATATAATTAATCAAATGTGTCTTCTTGTTCTTTGCAGGTGTGCGTACCGATCATAGACGACATGGACGATGAGGAACTACTTGAAGATGACCTGGACAAACGAGGAGAGACCGACGGAACAGCCACTGCGGTGGACACTCTTCTTCTGTGGCGACAGTGTTTGCGTCCACCGTGTGGTGGCGTGGACGCTGATCGTGACAGGGATGACGTTCGGCTGCGGTATGGTTACGATGACGACGGTGGCCAGGACGACCACAACGCTTACTTAGCAGTGGGTTCGTGGCCGAGGCGTCGTCGTCGGGGTCAGTGCGCGACAGCGGTGGTGGACGACAGTGATGTGGACGACGACGGGGATGACGATGATGACGACGACGACGGTTCACCCACGACTGTGTGGCCGTCGGTGGTCCAACACTGTCTGCCAAACGGCGTGGCCGGTGACAAACGTCTGCCACACCAGCAGCACCGCCGTCGGCGTGGTGATGCATGCGGCAGGTTGCGCATTACACTGGACCCGGCGCGTCTGCGGCGTGGTACTCGAGTATCAGCCGTGTGCCACAGTCTCCGTCGACTGCTGGCCAGGGAATGGGTGCGCAGTAGCGACGACGACGACCTGAGCCAAGAGGACGACGTGGAGTACCGACGAAATCGAGTGTACGTCATGTGCGAAGCGGCCGAGGATCAGCGAGATAATAACGATGACGACCGAATCGGCAGTGGTGGTTCCGGAAGTAGCGGCAATACACGCCGCCGACGACGACGGCGCCGCGTCACCATTCGAGTGTCTTTGGTACGTACAATAATAAATATAATAAATTATGTGATATTTAAACTCTACGATTTCCAGTTTGCCTTTAATAATAACAATAATATTAATTATAATTATGATAATATGCAAACACTATATTATTATGTCTAACCTTTTAAGAGAAATTAACCTTTTTCAGTCTGGTCAACTGGCTAAAAAATAATATAAACTATATTCCATTTTGGAAGTTGTAATGACCATAAAGTTATACAGTTGTACTATTATAGTATTATAATAAGATTGTGTACGTTAGTAAACTAGATTGGTATACATACTTTTAAAATTAAGTTTTCCCATACTATTTATTAAGCCGATTAACAACAATTATGAGCCCGAAAATGTTAGTTTAAATTTTCAATTCAGGGGTTTGATCACCCGAATACATTCAGTACCAGAAATCTGAATTATTTACTAATTGTGTGTACCTGTTAGGCGGTTGTGACAGATAAGCAGCAACAACACCAGAGACGGATCTCAGGAACGGTGGCAGATGACGACGATGTCGATGTTGCAGCGGTCGTAGGACGGGCCGTTCAAACTCTTTATAAACGACTCAACGGCGGCACTGTGGCCGGATCAACGGTGACTTCAACGAAAAAAGTTCAAACTGCTGGCCACCGCCTTCGCCCGACGCTGAACAGCGGTGTCGACGACTACGATGACGCTGCGGCGCTGGCGTTCTTAACAGCCGCCGTAGTGGACGTTGCCCTAGGAGGTGGCGCGACAGCGGAATCGCATTCGACGCCCGTTCCGTCAAATTCGTCAGGGTCTTCGAATGATGGTAAGTGATCGCGTTGAACGATATCCAATATAGTAATAATTAGGCGTGTCTTGGCGACGCCGTCTTGAGTAACCTTCATTTAAGTGGCATAATTTATAAACATACTGCAGTTTGGGCGATATTATTATATATTAATGCATGAATGCAATTTGCGACTACACGGTTGAAGTATATTAATCAGCGACCATTTAATAACTGAGGCTGTTCAATGAATATTACCAATAAGCTAATAAACAGTGCTTAGAGAATTCAAGGGACGAGATGGAGTGAAAAATAAAAGAGACAAAGTAGTAGAATACACACTTACGACCAAAAATAAAATATCTGATAATACGATTTATATTGTTGTTTGGTTAATGAAATGTTGATGACATAAACCAATATATACATGGATTTCTGGTTAGTGGTTGATAACTGAAATGTAAATTAAAGTGTACAGTAATTCATCAATGATAAATATCAACTAGTACTTTTTGTTCTTTCTTTCATTTACCTACTCGATCAACATATTATGTGTGGATGATAAGATGTAGTGCAAAGCGCTGTCCATTATAGTATAATATACTAAATAGGTATATGTTATGTGTTTTTGATTACTGATAAGATTCTTCTGATATGAGTTCTTACTATCTTTTATTATTTATTTTTGACATAAATATTTTTTTGAGCTGGATACAATAATTTTTGTTTTTGACCGATTTTTGGTAAGGTTTTCGTTATTATGGTACCTTATTAACAAACAAATACATATATATGATTCATATATTTTCCTTGGTTTTTTTATGATTCATTTTAATTGTACAATAACCCATATCATTATTATAAAAATACAGTACTGTGAACATAACGTTTTGCAATCAAGTGGCTTTATTTGAGCAAAAAAATGTTAGCAACCAAGTTAAATTATTGGGCCACCAATGTGCACATTTCGCCTTTTTATTTTTTTATGCTGTCGCAGCTAACCATGAACTTTAATTTATATGTTATCAAATGTCGTCACTTAACATACCGTGGTTATTCCCACCATCAGAATAATAAGACTAATACCAGACTTGTGGTTTCACAGATTATCGGCATTACTACTACTACTATTGGACGGTCGGCGTGGCCTGCGGAGCGTTGGCCACTGTACTGGCGGTCGCGGCGTTCCTGTTACTACGTTTCCGGAGCAGCACCAGGAGGAAATCGAACGGTGGACAAACAACTTCGGATTCTTCATCTGCTGTCGTTGATCCTTCGGTGGCCGGCGGTGACAGTTTGATGTTGTCACTGGTGCGGCGTCAAAACGAGGAGAACCTCAAGCGGTTGGTAACTGGCGGCAACCGGGTTGCCGTGACAGCCGCTGGTGGTGACTATGGTGGCAGTGGCTGTGGACGCAATAACTTGTCGGCGGGATCGTCTCTTAGTTGTTCACGAGTCAGCATCGTTCACCCTTTATGCAATGTCACCTCAGCTGATGACGGATCTTCACCGGAAATGCATCGCAAACAGCATCTGAACGGCGGTAGTGATAACGACGGAATGAATGTAGACGACGAAAAGAGTGGAGAGAAAACAACAAACGTGGCATTGCCACCAGTAGCTGCTGTTAGGTCTGTAGCTGTAGCCGTACCTCGACAACAACAACCAGTACAACATCAACAACCACAACAACAACAACGGCCATTGGCTGCAGCAGCACCACAACCATTATTGTTGTGCAAAAAGACTTTGAACGTAGACAATGAACAGCGAAGACAACTACAACTGATGCAACAACAACGTCAACAACAATCACCGATACACCAGCAACATCAACTACCACTTCAACAACAGCTACAACTCGCACATCAACAACATCAACTACCGGTACATCAACAACAGCATCAGCAGCAGCAAGTACCAGCGCAACAGTACAACCACCGCAATCGTGGAGATATTCTTAATCAACACCTACAACCTAACCAGCAACATTATCATAATCAACAGCAGCAACAAAATTATGCGTCGTTATTGCACTCAACACCGAATAACAATAATACCAGCAGCAACAACATCAACAACAACAACAATAACAATCACAGCTCAGAAGATGGTAACGACGAAGCTGCTCCACCTTCGCTCACCGTTTTGGTGTAAGAGGTATCAACTCTCATTAAAACACAAATTTTTTTGTACTTTTTTAAAAACTGTTTTTGTATAATATTATTTACAAATTGTCAATTACAACATTATTAATTACCTGTAGTCACTATGTATAATATATATTTATATTTTATAATTTATATATATTATATAATGTGTAATACCCGTATATTATTTTTTTTTATTTTTTTAATTTTTATTATTATTATTATTATTATTTTTATTATTATTATTATTATTATTATTATTATTATTATAATCCTTATTATTATCATTATTATTAGTATGTTTAATTTCATAATTTTTTTTAAATAACTACCGGCGGTACGCTTGCCATTTACTATATACGTATACGTCGCGTCATGTATGTTAGCCTGCAAACGTGTGTGTTTTGAACTCTCTCTCACCCCTACCCAAAACGCAAGCCTAATTATATATTGTACGTGGACTATTATACCACAATATTATTTTTTACTGATTTTAATTATTATTAATTATTATTTTTATTTTTATTATTATTATTAATATACATTTTTTAATTTGTATTATTATCTACAGGGATGATGATAACGATTTTTTTCTCCGAACAACGGTTCACATTTGTATATATAAATATTGTACGTCTCGCTATGTACGTGCGTTGCGTGTTTGTATCGTTTAAACTATAAGATTTGCAACAAATATATTCTATTCGTTGGACGACAAGTGCGTTGTTACATTATTGTCGTTTAGTGCTTACCTGCTTCACGCATCTACCCACTGCTTGATTTAATAGTAAATATAGTGATATGAACGAACGTCATACAAACTCCAATACTTTAATGAAGGCGGGAATATAATATGAGAAATACGCCACAAAAAAATGTGTAGGTTATAATCCAAGCCATATTTTAAAATTATGCTTGTCAACGCTGTTGTGTACTTGTTTTGCCTATATATTACGCCGCGTTAAAAAAAACTGCAATAATAAATTGGAGATTGAGTGGAGATTGAGTTACTGAATAATATAATAAACTTTTACTTTAAGTTTAACAGATGGTTGTCAACTTATGTGGTAACGGTCTAGAGTATTCATTACTACTTCCGACATTATATACCAGCTAGTATATTAAAACAACATGGCTATGTCCATTTTACAAGTTACATTTTTAGTTGAATAAAAATAAAACAGACATCTTTTGAAACTTATTTAGAGTAAATATTATTCATACAAATACGAGTAATATTAGTATATTATACGTATGCTATAGAAATTATCAGTGATTTGTTATAAATTATGACCTTTTTTTAGAATTATTATTATTTTATGAATAATTATACATTATTAATTGTTGTATATTATTTGAATAATAATTAACAATATCTTTTACATTATATCATTAAAATTGTACTTATATTACAAAAAAAATTTTAGGACAGTTTTGTATTATTAAACTATAGTTTAATACCATAATATTAATTTATATTACAGTATAAAATTGTCCTGTACATGAAACCAAGAACGCTTTATACAAAGGCTAGAGCACATGTTGTGAAAGTAATTCAGAAAAAGCACCATTGGAAAAGTTTCGATGGGATCTAATAATCTCTTTAAAATTAAACACTTATTTAAGAGATCGAGTCCTGCGTTTTCTACCAAAATGTACATATCTTATGCCAATTTTATTGACTGTACCTGTAATCAAATATAACTTCTGTAAGCCTTTTTCCATTTTTCAAGAAGTTTAGTAGATAACAACCTTTCCAATTTTTTAATTTGATAACTTAATAATAATAACACAATATGTAACAGAGATAGTAAAGTAGGTAGTAAATAGTTGGACACAAAACTGTTTAATAGTAAAAGTAATTCTAACTACCAAGAATTTTAGTTATAATTTATATAGTAATTTATATAATAATCATATATATAAATGTGAAAATCTAATTATATAAACTTGAAAATGGAAATGTTTAGCACCCATGTTCTCTGGAAGTACTTATCCTATATTCATACGTTTTTTAAATGATAGAGTACCTATTTCTCGGAGCAGGTTTTAAGGATAAGTTTATGGACCTAACTCCTGTCAAGGAAATATTGAGCAACAAACTGGGTACCATCTATCCAGTAAAATAAAATAAGAAAAATAATTTGTAAAATGTTGTCTATGTTGATGTGGGGTAACAGTTGTGCTAAGGGTACAATGTACCTGAGGTCTTAAATTACATATTCAAAGCTAATAACTAATATGCGGGTGTAAATTGCCGGTAAATATAATGAAGAACACTTTTCACGAACCATCTAGGACATTGGAATCGGAACTTTCCGGAATAACGACTATATCATAGTACAGACTACAGATAGATTCATTGTCTGAAATTTTGGTTCGTAAATAAAATGATTTAATCAACAAAGTATATCCTCAAATTTCTCAAATCTATATAATACTAGCTGATCCCGTGCACTTCGTTGCTCGTTAAATGTACCAATTCTATATGACTCAAACTTTGTTCAATAAGTTATTTAATATTCGGTGTATGGTGTTCAAAATATATCTTAACTTTTCCGTTGCCCGGAATAAAAAAGCATTATATTATCAGGTAGGCAATCTACCTAACGTGGATCGTGGACCCCGTTCTGTTTACAAGTAAGTGTATGATTTAACTCTAAAGTATCAAAGTTATACCAAGTTTGTCATATTCCACCTATGGTTATAGATTAATATAATCAATTAATACAAAATCCTAACCTAACCTAACCGTACTAATATCAGATGAATAGAAAAACCAAATTTAATCATTTTTAATTAGCCTAATATACACACAAACATTCATATATATATTGACAAAAATAATAATACAAATCAACAATCATGCCCGATTAACCAATAGCAACCAATATAATATATTATATTACACTGTTGAGCCACTATTATATTTTTTACATCCAGATTTCCTACTTTTCCTGTAGATTTTCCTAAAATTTTCTTTCTTAAAAACCTTCTCATGGAAATAGAGAACATCTTAAAAATATTTGAACCAAATCAGACCAGCCGTTAATTAATGAGGTATTACGAAATTTTCATATATATAGATATAAATGCGATTTATAATGAATCAAATGTATGTCCTCGTGAACGTGCAATTTTTTCCCCTAAAAACGACAGTATCAATATCATTAACGAAAAGGTTCTTTCTATGTTCGAAACTGATACCAAAAACCAAAAGATTACTATTGATACACTTACTGCTCAAGATCAAGTTATTCCTATCGAATTTCTTAATTCATTAAATCCATCATGTCTCCCACCATACAAACTTGATTTAAAAATCGGTACTCCTATTATTCTTTGCGAAATTTGAATGCTCAGAAATTGTGTGATGGAACCAGATTATGAGTTTCATCTTTGAGTAATAATATTATCGATGCTAAAATTCTTACTGGTGCTGAGAGTTGTCAAGTTGTATACATTCCAAGATTGCACATGATTACAAATTGATTTTCATTCGAATTCAAACGTGTACAATTCTCTATTAAACTTTGTTTTGAAATTCCAATTAATACAGCATAAGAATAGACAAGGTAAATTGCAAGAATCGACCACCGAGATCCTTGTTTACTCGTGGCCAATTTTATGTGTCTTTCTCATGTGTTAGCCCAGAAAAATACTGATATTACCTATATATAAACCCCCAAACAAAAACTAATAATATTGTTTAAATAGACATTTTAGAAAATCAGTATTTATGTAATATACCTATTTAGAATAAAAAAAAAACCATTTACTATTAGATTTGCTAAATATAATTATTATGTTAAAAATCAAATAAATGTTTGACAAAATTAAACTCAAATTTATTCTTTTTTTTTAAGTTTTGAACATCCTACACCGAGTACTGAAGAACGAATTGTACAACATTTGAATCATATAAGATTTAGTACTTATTACTGGAAACAAAGTGTACGAGGACAGCTATTATTATATATTCCTGAACTATAGTAATATATAAATATTATGTGTGTATAATAGATAATACTGATATTTAATAAATATTTCAAAGTATATTTTGTATAATACATAGGTATACAATAATGACTTCCCATATTTTTTTGGTTTTTGGTGACAGTAAGATAGATACATAAAAAACGAGAGATTCAAAATTGTATGGTCTATAATCATCAGAAGTGAAATATTTGAGATTAGGATAGGTACTGAGATAATTCCAAGTTATAAAACTGACAAAAAAACGTTCAGTTCAAAATTAAGAAAGAGGAATAAAGATTGACCTTAATCATTGCGACAATAAGTACTTAAAATAATTATCTTACTACATATTATCATGATAATTTAGATTACTGATACTTATTCAAATATACAAATAAGTAGGGGTATAAAAGTATAATTAAAATTATTTGAATTATATACTTAACAGTTAGGTATGATATCTGATATTCTGGGTTATTTAATAATCGTATAGTTGTAATCAAAATGAAAATTTCTAGTTCTTTACAGCTTTTTTTTTTGTGGTTTCATCATTACATGGGAGCCATACGATTTCACATTCCTTGGCCCCCATTCAGCATCGTTTATTTAAATAACTAAGCATATAAATGTGTAAAACAGTTAGTTTCGGCTAGCATAAGCCATAGTATAGCTTCCCCAGAGATCGCTGGTATATATTCCTATGTTACGAGCTCCATGATGCCTTACACGTATTTACAACGGCTAAGGCCAAATGAGAAAAGCCATCTTGTAGAATATCCTGAATGTTTCCTCGGTATCTCGAAGGGCTATTGTCTGGTGATCGACCGGGTGATCCCCGAAGACCAGTCCACACAGTATGTCCTGTGCGTCCCAGCTGCACTCGATACACGCAGAATAACAATAGAGCTTTCTTTAGGTCACCGATGTTCAAAATTGAATGAGACGAGTATTTTAAAATAATCTTATATATAATAAATACCTACCATCATAAGTTAAATTAATGATTTGAACTGTAAACTTAGTTTGTTG